AACTATGAAGAGAAGGAAGCCCAGGTTGAAATCAATGATTTGGAACATAAGGAAGAAATAATCAACTAGAACAGAATGAAGAAATAAGAATTCAAAAACAGAAAGAAAAAAAAAACAAAAATAAGAAGACTCTGGGAAATCTCCAAAAGTGCCAACATCCAAATCATAGGGATGCCAGAAGGAGAAGAGGAAGAGCAAGAAACTGAAAACTTATTTGAAAAAAAAAACAATTTAAAAAAACTTCCCTAATTTGGTGAAAGAAATAAATGTACAAGTCCAGGAAGCACAGAGTTCCAAACCAGATGGACAAAAAGAGGGCCGCGCCAAGAACATCATAATTAAAATGCCAGAGGTTAAAGATAAAGAGAGAATCTTAAAAGCAGCAGGAGGAAAGCAGGGAGTTACCTACAAAGGAGTTCCCATAAGACCATCAGCTGATTTCTCAAACCTTACAGGCAAGAAGGGGCGGGCAAGAAGTATTCAGTGTGATGAAAAGCAAGGACCTACATCCAAAATTACTCTATCCAGCAAAGCTATGATTTAGAATGGAAGGGCAGATAAAGTGCTTCCCAGACAAGGTAAAGCTAAAGGTGTTCATCATCACCAAGCCCTTATTATATGAAATGTGAAAGGGACTTATTTAAGAAGACAAAGATCAAAACTATGAACATTAAAATGACAACAAACTCACAACTATCAACTGAATCTAAAAAACAAAAGCAAACAGCTAGAACAGAAACAGAATCATAGAAATGGAGATCACATGGAGGGTTATCAGCAGGGATGGGGAAGGGGGAAAATGGGGGAAAAGCACAGGGATTAATAGCATAATTGGTAGGTACAAAATAAACAAGGGGATGTTAAGAATAGTATAGGAAATGGAGAAGAACTTATCAAAGAACTTATATGTATGACCCATGGACCTGAACTATAGGTGGGGAGGGTGGCTTGCTGGAGGGAAGAGGGATACTGGGTGGAAGGCAGCAAGGGGGAAAAAATTGGGACAACTGTAATAGCATAATCAATAAAATATACTTTAAAAAGAAATGTATTCATTAATAGTGAAATGTATTCATTCTGAAGTATGTCATTAAGTATGGAAAAGATGCAGCTCCTTCTCAGGCCAAATTCGTGCTTCTCCGGATGAACACGTTTGCCCTTCTGCTTAATAGATATATCGTTCATTTGCCATTTGCTCAGCAAATATTCTTTCTTGTCTGCACCAGGCACCATTTTATATATAGCAGTAAACAAAACAGATGGAGTCTCTGCATTCATGGAGCTTCCTTCCCTTCAAAAGGGGAGGACTGTGAGGGAAAAGATTTATTTATGCAGATATGTTGTGTTGATGGTGCTAAATGTTAAAAATAACATTGAAGCAGAGCAGAGAGAAAGAAGTATCTTGGGTAGAGAGGTTCTGCTATTCATGCTGGGTGGCTGGGAACCCTTCTCCTAAAAGGGTAACATTTGAGCAGAAACCTAAAAGGAATGATATATACATATATCTATATCTTGCTCCTTCATTCATTTTAGGCATACACACATACACACACATACACACATATGAAAGTGGAGTAGTCCGGGGATATGGAGCCTCAAAGCAGGAGCATGCCTGGCAGGGAAAGAAGTAGGGAGAGTGAGAGCCAAAGGTAGTGGAGGGCCAGCTCAGGAAAGGCCTTGGACATTATCATGAGGACTTTGCATTTTGCATTGAGTTGCAAAGCCCTCGGAGGTTTTAGGGAGAGAAGTGGTATGATCTGATTTGCTTTAAAAGGATCACTGGCTGCTGTGTTCAACACAGATAATAGCAGAGCAAATGTAAAAATAGGGAGACAGGTTCCATAGCCTTGTTGAGGCATGAGTGCATACGGCCTGCGTACGGCCTGTCAAAAATGCTTCCTCATAATCATTACATTGGTTTTATAGTTCTACTTACTGGGTTTTGGAAATTATTTTTATTCAGCTGGTACTTTATTCAAATACAGCTTAAATTTGCTACAGTAGCAATAGAAATAATTTTCTAAATATAATGAAACATACCACTGTTGCAGCTTGGTTGATTACCAATGGAAAATAATGATACCTTACAATCATAAAGTGTTTGAAAGTTTAAACAGCAATTTTTATTCATTATTTCATCTAGTCCTCATAGTTTTTGTAAAGATTGCCACGGTGGCTGTTATCTCCCTGCAGAGGTGGGAACTGAAACATCACATGCCGAGTTTGCAGCAGGGCACCCAAAAAACTAAAACCCAGCTCTTTCCTGCTCATCTGAATCCACTGGATTTGCTGAAAAGGGTCTGTTACATTCAGATGATGTCTCAAGATGTTGGTGGGGAGTGGGATACTTAATATAGCAAATTTAGTGTATTGGAAAAAATATCAACTAGTGAGCAAGATACTATGCTTGGAAGGGGTACAGTCAAAGATGTATAAAGCATCTTCCCACCCTGTGAACTTACTACTTGGGATGGTTACACATGTAACAGTAAATATGATAAGTAACTGCTAGTTTTTTAAAAATGTCATATGCTCAGTTTCAAGCAAATGGTACAGACAGTAAATAGTAAATGCTTTACCGTTCAAAGGAAGCAGTGATTTTAACAGCTAGAGTAGTTAGGGCAATAGAGGGGCAGGGCACCTGAGTTGAAGAAGGAGCAGGATTCAGTAAGATTGAAGAAGGGTTTCTAAACCTGGGGTGGGGGTGGGGTGGGGGGCAGGAGAGCATGTAGAACGAATAAAGGCTTAGCGATAGAGTTTGGTTTTTTTGTTTGGTTGTTTGGGGATTGTCTTTATGAGGCAGTGATTAGTTGGGTTGGAATACAGTGGTTGGTTTGAGGATGACTGGATGATTACTGCTTTTCATACATAAAATATTCCTGAAAACTAGGCTAAGAGGTGAATGTACATAAGTCATACAGGTGAGTTAAACAAGATGTCAGAGGGCTGAGAAAATCCAATTAGGTTCTTATTTACACTTTGCCTTTTACAATATAATCTAGCAACTTTATGGCTTTATTTTGTCTGTCTCTATTGATCTGCTGAAGTCAACTATGTGTCTGATTAAAGCTAAAGATTTGTTAATTTTAGCATAACTTGTGATTTCCAGGCAGCTCCTCCCAGGAGCTTACAATATTCATTAACTGTGTCCATCTGATGGGGTGGCTTAAGAGTGGTTTAAGGGTGTCAATATATCAAAGAGCAGATTGTTGAAAAGGAAAATATTCAACGTTGAAGGCCTATAATGAGAATTAGGTTTAGGAGAAAAGACCAGGCTATGCAGAGTCGGACATGTCTTTCAGTCCTACAGATGCTGAGCGTCTGTGGCGGCTGTCTGTGATTTGTATGTGTTGTGCTAAATGCTGGGGCACATTTGAAAGCATAACCCTACTAAGTAGTTCACATTTTGGTGGGGGCAGGGGGAGTGTCAGAGAATATTTAATTTCCTCCTCAAGGAGAGAAATGATGTAATGAAAGTGCTGTATTTAGTATGTTGGTGTTGTAAGATTTATACTGAAATTGGGGGAACTGAAGGCAGAAAAACAGTTGGTAAAAGAGCTTGCACCTCTGCTTGTATTCCGAGACCACCCCCTCCCCCGCAACAGGAAATATACATTGTGTGTGTGTTATCTGAAGTGCATGCTCCAGAAGCATGTTCTGTATCTACCCCCTGATCACCAAAACAGAACCAGCCACGTGAAATCATATTGTTTGTTTGTAGCTTCCATCATCTGTTTTCTCCTCTATTCAGCGAATACTTAGTACCTGTGTGCCCAGCACTCTTCTAGGGCCGGGAATATAGTCGTCAATAAAAAAGACAAAGTCTCTGCCTTCGTGGAGTTTACATTCTACTGTCTGTCAGGCAACACTAAATAGCTAATGTATGAGGAAGTACCTAGCATATTGCCTGTCACATAGTAGGTAGGGTTCAGTAATTGCTAATTACAGAGTTTGAACTTGAAGTTTGAATTAAGTACCTACCCTTGACAGGCTACTTTGTTGGGACCCTTTTGCAGAATAGAGGGGAGGAGTTAACTCATTTGCAGATTTTTTTAAAGTGTTACCATTAAAAAATACACACCCCTTGTTCAGTTTTGGGGTAATTAAGATTATATGTTATATTAAATACAACAAGTATGTTCCTGACCACTTTTGCAACTGAAGATGAAACGGTGAAGCAGGTGCTGTTCTGTGCCATCAAACGCTGTGTGCTCCTGTCCTGCTTGGATGGTTTTTGTGGGCTCCCTGAATTCCTGAAAAGGCTCATTGTTGTCACTGGCATGCTTCACGGAAACCCTTTGTGTCATTATTTAGCAACTGACTGCCTTGGCAAAAGCTATGTCAATGCTTTTGTTAACTCGAACAGCAGTCAGAAACGAAGTGAGGGAAGAAAAGGATAAACGAAACAAAGACTGATAGGTGTGTGCACACACACACATCTTTTAGATCAGTTTCTGCGTGTCATCTGGAGAAGCATTTGTCACATAAAACCAGGGAAAAGCAATACTGCATTTACTCTTTTTTCATTGTTTTGTTCAGCTATGACCTGTTAACCGGCAACATACAAATGCCTTGTTGGCTTCCCTTTGGCCTTGCTGTTCATTAAATGGGAGTAATAGTTTCATACTGAGAGCAAAATCAGCCCTTTTGTGCAAATTCTTTGCAAGATTATTTTCCTTTCTACCTATTTTTCCTAAGAGGTGGGAGATAGGATGATGGGTGTATTTCCTGTTGTTGGAAGCCAAGATTTTTGACTTTCATTTGAAATAAACCCTTGCTTCTATAGAAGCACGAAACAGTTGGAAGTGGAGGAGTTAGGAGCTTATGTTTATTTGCCTCCAGAGAAAATGCTTAGCATTAAATCTGTTACTAAAACTCCAAGTTGAACACATGATGTCATTTCTGCAATATAGCATGATGTCTGTGTGTGTGCGCTTTATTTTAGAACAAGCACTGTAGATACGGAATTAGTTATGTGGACTTTTCTCATCCCTTTTCAGATGTGAAGCCCTCCAATATGCTAGTGAACACAAGAGGACAGGTCAAGCTGTGTGATTTTGGAGTTAGCACTCAGGTAGGTCTCTTTCTCCTCCCCATCTGCTCTCTCCGCGACACCCACTTTTTATTTTCAATCTACTCTCTGGATTGAAAAATCACCTAGCTGCCAGACAAACAGAACTCTGCATCTTCTCCTCGGCTGGGAGTGTGTTATTCATTTTTAATCTCCGGGCGAGTTTCCTTCATCAGAATATGATTGTTCATTGTTTAATGACAGTAAAAACTGCTGATATTGTAATTACTACTTACGAATAGCAAACTTCATTGATATGCAGCTTTGATATGAAAGCGTTTTGGCCAGACAAAAGGGAGGGCAGAGTGGGAGCTGTGCCTGGGGAGCCCAACTGGCCCACAATAAAAATTAATATTGGGAGCAACAATGGTGGAGGACCATTACAATGTGCAGCACAAATTTTAATTAATTTCCATTTTGGGCCTCCCCCGAGAACCCCGGTGATAGTGACCCATGAGCATGCTGTGATGTTGATTTGAATTGCAGCCACCTTTACTCCCAGCCAAACACGAAGACCAAAGCGAAGGTCATCGTTGTATTATGAGTTGTCAAAGTCTGTTATCCCTCCAGCGTATTTAGTGTTCGTTTCATTCTAGTAATGCACAGGGCTGCCTTCACATCGTGAGCCATTTGACTAAAACATGAATGTGTTCAGATTCTACTTCAAATTGACTTTTTATATACCAGGCGGGCTTGGGGTACTAAAGCGATAAGCATCCTGCTTAAGTGGATTGTTTAAGGTTATCTGCCGTAAACTGTAATGCTGTGCTTGTTTAAATTGGGAATCACATTCAAAAGGAAAGGGAGATTTAACCATTTTTAATGCCTTTGCAGATAAATTTGTTCCCTTCTACACAATTTTTAGTTGATTTATAGAAATGATGATTGTAGGTTAAATGAGGAATAATTGCCCATTTTATTTCCACATTATCTTTATATTGTTCTAACAGACTGTTTTGTCTCGTAGCTGGTGAATTCTATAGCCAAGACGTATGTTGGAACAAATGCTTATATGGCAGTAAGTAAACTTATGCAAAAATAACATTTAAAACCAACATCTTTATGTACTTGGTAATGTATAATTCTTGAATTAATTCCATACCCTTAGCCTAACAGATCATAAATTACAAAGTCAATTCAGTCGTGATTCGATTTTTAAACCTTTCTAAAAGACATTAGGATTTATACAGGGACTACAAACTTATCTGACTTTGTTGACTTAACTGGTTGGCTCAAGTGTGAAATCGCTGAGATTTAAAGTTTAAACCAACAGAAAAATTGCACTGTACAGCATTTTGGCTACTTTGCCACATTGCTTATTTAATTAACCCTCAAGTACACCAAATTGTCAGTCAATAAGATTGGTTGTTTTTCCAGGAATGCAAATATGCTTTGTCACCAGATCAACATTAAATTATTGATGGGACCAACTCTTACTTATGGATCTCTGACTGTAATGGTTTAGCAGGCAATTCTCTTTAGGACTCCCACATCTATATTCTGTGTGTTTGTAGAGAGTCATGACTACTGTAGGACAGCTTACTTAGTTCCACTGAAATAAATTTACCAAGAATATAAAGTGGAAGCATGGAACTGTTTCAGGGACCAATGTGGACCTGGCTTTGACCTTTTTCGTATCTTTCAAGAAAGGAAGTTATTTGTGTCCATAAAAATGTTTTTGTTTATTGATTTCCACAGTCACATCAGGAATTGGGGGTTGGGACAGAGACAAGCAGGAAGTTTATCTAGTATCATTTTTGGATCAAAGTTTTAACATCTTAAGGGTTTTTTTTAATTAAGGGTTTTATATTTTATTCAGATAGCCCATTTCATTTCCAGTAGTCCTTTCTTATGTATCATAAAGTTAAACAGTGTTAGTATGGATGGAACCCAGGATTTTATTCACAGCAATCTTTGTTCATATATCATCCTGATAAAAAGATCTTAATATGGAAGGAACCCTGGATCCTATTCTCAGAACAGTACTGAGCATATTTTTTAAATTGAGGTACCAGAGTAATTAATTTTTGTCTTGTATTATTTTTTTAAAAACACATTCTTTATGATTTTTCTAGATAATGTGAAAAATATATATATTAACCTCTGAAGTCATCCTATATGTTTTTATAAAACTTAATCACCCTCCTGGCTCTACCAGGTTAGCTGAAATTGGTGAGCCACCTTTATAATGAACAAAACCCCGCCAAATGCCATAGTTTCAGTCTTTGAAAGAATTTGGAACACTGTTATTTAAAAAAAAAACTATAAATGAAATAACTTCTCATACCCATCATGTTCTTAGTAGTTTTAAATTGCTCTAATAATTAAATTGCATCACATTTGAATGTACAAATTCAGATCACAATTGTCTTTCCCAGGTGTACATTAAAGAAATTACTTTTTCATTTTTGTTTATGGATGAATGTGATGCGTCCATCTGTTAATTGAAATGTGAGGATTAAAATTATGAAACGTTAGCTCAGATTGGCAAAGCTAAAATTGCTTTGCTTCGCTTCTTGGGTGAGTGAATTCTAGTCATCAACTTTTTAGCACAAGCTGTAGAAAGCCTAAGATACCTAGGAGGCGAAGGGTGATAGCTTGGTAGTGAGCCTCGCTCAGCTCAGCAGGTTCCCGTTAACCACATACTTTCCTGACTGGTGTGAGATCAGAGGTTGAGAATGGGGGAAGGTAGAAATAATATTTATTCTTCTGTTACCGGTATGTATTCCTGCCTTCTGTCTGCTAACAGTTTCAAGAGGGAGAAAGGCTAGGCTTTTTTTTTTAAACCACAGTTGGTTCCCATTTTTGCTGGTCTACTTTGTAACTTTGAGTTATACATGACAGTCTCTTCCAAGAGACCATGAACTACCTACAGCTCTCATGCCAAATTCAGCTTACTGCTCACTTTTTGTAAAGAAAGTTTTAACACAGTACCACCCTTGCTGGGTAGCCCAGTTGGTTAGAGCATCATCCTGATATGCCAAGATTGCGGGTTTAATCCCCCATTGAGGCACATACAAGAATCAACCAATGAATGCACAAATAAGAAGAACAGCAAACTGATATTTCTCTCCCTTTCTCTCTCTCTCAAAATTACTCTAAAAAATTACACGGTACTGTATACACAAACACAATGGGTACGTGTAAAACCAGGGAAACCTGAGTAAACCCTGTAAATTGCAGCAACATTGATTTCCTGGTTGTGATATTGTATTACAGTACTACCATTCAGGGGAACTGGGTAAAGCATACAGAAAATCTCCCTGTGTATTACATATGTATATATGTAACATATATTAATATATATATTTTTTTTAAAAAAGATTTTATTTATTTTTAGAGAGGGAAGGGAGGGAGAAAGAGAGAGAGAGAAACATCAATGTGTGGTTGCTGGGGGTCATGGCCTGCAACCCAGGCATGTGCCCTGACTGGGAATCAAACCTGCGACACTTTGGTTTGCAGCATGCGCTCAATCCACTGAGCTATGCCAGCCAGGGCTAATATATTTTTAATATATATAGTTTTTTTCGCTTCTTGTGAATCAAATAAGTATTTCAAAATAAAAAATGAAATTAAAAAACAAGTTTTATGGGGTCATGGTCATACCCACTTGTTTGCAGATTGTCTATGGCAGCTTTAGCCCTCCAGTGGCGCAGTGGAAGAGTTGTGACAGTTGCAGCAAAGGCCACATGGCCCACAAAGTGACAAATATTTAGCATCTGGTCCTTTACAGAAAAAATGTGCAAACCTCTGACCTGTGCCATTGAGGGCTGTATCTGACACTGAGCACCTTCGGTCAGCCAGCCAGCACTGACTAAGTGCCTTCTCTGATGTTAGGTGCAGTGGGACCACTCTGCAACCCACGTAAGACATGAACAAAGTAGGAACTTGGTATTGTGTGTGGCCATATTATGTGTGATGTAAGGAAGATTTCAGTTGTGCCAAAAATACATTTAGAGAGTAAGAGGTGTACAAGGTATGAATTTGATGATTCAAGCAGTATGTGAAAATGGCACTTAGAATCTTACGATCACTGTGGAAAGATAAGCAGCAACTCAGAGGTAGAAGGTTATGTGTCATGGGTGGGGCAAAGAGGTAGGGCAGAGGACAAATTATAAACTGTGGAAATATACAATTAGAGGTCATCTGATATAATGCCTTTGTTCTACATTCATGGCCCTTACTTTATAATTTATGCATACTTCTGTACAGTAATGATAATAGCAAAATAATAGCAACAATTTACACTATGTGCCAGTTGTTTTTACATATATTAACTTTTTAAATCCTTACAACAGCCCTATGAGGTAGGTAATATTCTCATTTTAAAGATGATGAAACCAAAATATAGAGAAATTAAGTGACTTACCCATCAGACTTCAGAGACTAAACTCTTTACTGCTGTGTCTCTCACTATATATCTAAGTAATCTGTGTTGCTCCAAATCTAAAGTATGATCTTCACAGGGGCAAGATTTATTCTGCCCATTCTCTGTATCCAGTCCCTCATACAGTGCTAAATGAGTGAATTCATAAATACTGCATTTCAAATATGACTCTTTCACTAATTATAAGCAAACTATTTTTTTCATACTAAGTACATTACTTTCATTATAGTGTATGGAAGATCCCCAAATTACTCAGCTACAGATAGCTAGGGTGCTCAAATACTGAAAACAAAATAAACCATTTCCCAGACAGGACACATGCCTGAGTTGCAGTCTAGGTCCCTGGCAAGGGGCCCCCAAGAGACAGCCACACATTGATGTTTCTCTCTCCATCTTTCTCCCTCCCTTCTCCTCTCTCTAAAAATGAATAAAATCTTTAAAAAGAAAGGAAAAGAAACCAAAGGAATAGTCCTGCATGTGCAGATTACTTCATTCTCCTATAACCTGAAGTGTAAGATACAAGAAAATGATAATTAGAAAAATGACAGGGAGCTCTTCTAAGATTCTGAAGCATTAAAAAATAATCATAATAACAACCTGTGGGCACATTAAGTAGTAAGCATGTAGGAGACTTGGAAAGTCATTGACTGGTGAAGGGACTGAGACCCGGAGGGTGAAGTGGAGCATTCAAGGACACGTCGCCCTTCAGCGGCGGCCGGCTGGCTTCTACAGACGTTTCAGTTCAAAGAAAAAAGAGTTTCCAACTCCATTTCGAAAAGACTTCATTCAGAAGGATTACAAAAGAGATCCAGAAGGCTTTGGGGGCTTTTATTAAATTAAACCATGTCTCATAAATTCTAATTACTAAAAAGGTTACTCTGTTTTAAAGATAGAAGTCCCTGAAACTGTAACCCACTCTTCAGTCACTGTGATTTGCTTATTGTAATTTTTAAATCACGTATAAAAGTTTGACATTTTTATGAATAACTGAAGATTTGAAAAAAAAGTGTTACCCAAATATGTGTTTCTTGGGGTCAGAAAGTCAATCTAAATGACTTTTTTAATCTTCTGAACAGTTTTTTCTACTCAGGCTTTTTCTATCCTTGGAAATGATCTTCATCCGAATAAGACCTCCTGTGCACATTACAGAACCCAGCTCGACTGGCCATGCACGTGCCGTGATGGCAGTGGCCTGGCGATTGTTGGAGGAAGCTCCCATTTACTGAGCTTCCCACGTGGCATGTGCTGAATCCAGCACATCACATGGACCCATATAATCTTCACACAATCCCACAAGAAATATACATTATTATGACCATTGTTTTGCAGATGAGGAAACCAGAGGTGGAATCACCTGAACCAGCCCAGGATCTGGGTTGGCAAGTACTGAGAGTCAAGATTTCATTAGGACATCAGCTTCTAGTTTCTTGTATTAGAGGTTAGGTTATTTGGACCAAGTCTTCTGCTGAAAATGCTAGTTAAAATAATTTTTAAATGATCTCAAATGTACTGAAGAGCTAAAAAGGTGATGGGAAACTCTCAGGACAATTTTCAGATGTAATCCTGCAACAGTGGAGAAAGCAGAATACTGGAGCACCAGAACCACTTTCTCCTGAGAGCATTTTCCTGTACCACAGCTGTGCCCTAACGCAGAGGGTCTTTCCCATATCGGGCTGTGAGCCTGAGGACTTGCCCTCAGTGTGCGAGCAAACCAGAGCTAAAGCTGCCTCACCTCTCCCAGTCCCAGTGAATGGAAACGAAGGCTTCTTGGAAGTAGGAAAGCAGGCTAAAAAGGGAAAGGGGGGACAGTTGAAGCCATAGACTAACTCTGGCACGGATTTGCACCCTGGGTATTTGTATACGTGACCTGAGTTGCAAAAGGAGCTTGCGTCATGCTTAGAACTTGGTTTGAGGTGGGCATACCCATCTTAGGCCTCAGAGAACCTCTCTAATGTTTTTTTTTTTCAAGAGCAAACTCTAGCAATTAGTCAGAAAACCAGGCACACTAGGAACAAAGCAACTTGAAAAAGAACCAGCAGGGGCAGCAGACAGCAGAAACAGCTGCACACAGACTTCAGACCACAAATTACAAGTGACATAGTAGAACTACTAGATTAAAATTTAAAACTCACTATTTGGTAGCACACTGGACATAGCAGAAGAGAGGGTTAGTGAGCTGAAAGACAAACGATGCTGCAGCCGTCTGACGTCAGACCCTTGCTCAGCCAGTGTGCCTTGCTACCCACTCAGGGGTCTTCTCAGCCTAAAAAAAATTCCCCAAAGTCTGATAACATATTTTGATTTCATACTGGCCTCAAGTATTTATTTGTACATACTTTCATAATTTTCTGAGTAGCTTAACGAAACAAATTCCTATATCAGAAGAGATAAGGAATGTGCCTTGGTGTCTTCCTGCTTTGGGCAAGTAAACCCAAGGGCATTGCGCTGTAAACGGAGACAGTTGTGGAGTGAGTTAACTAACTATGGGCCGGGGGTCCATGCCAAGTCACAGAGGACAGCTGTAAGGAGTGAGTATGCGTGCCCACTCGGAGCCACTGCCCTTTGAAGACCCTCTGGAAACTCTGCTTTTTATCTCATCACCACTCCTTACTGTTACTGGAAAGAACAGACCAGAGTTTGGTCACCTGGACACTTAACCTTCAGTGCCGAAGCCCTTCAGATGGGAGTTGTGTTTTCCCTATTATTTAGCTTTCCATGTCAGAAAGTGACTCAGCTTGAGCTTGCCAGCCCCGAAGTGTCCATCAGAAGCCTTCTACCAGTAGTGTTGTACCTGGTGGTTGGCTTTGTTTTGCTTTAAAGGAGAGAGACAGACCAAGCCACCTTGGCCTCAAGTGTGAGGGCAGCTTTGAATTTTCCAGCCTCAGGCCGCCAACTCCTGGCTTCATAAATCTAGAATGTACTAGAGCCTAACTTATGGCTGTGTCAGATTCAGGGGCCTGAGCGCATTTCCCAGTCCCTACCGTCTGTGTGAATTCTGTAGAGTAACCTGAAGAGCTGGTTTTGCCGAGCACTTGTACTTGAGTACCGCATCCCGACAGTAATCTTGTTTTGTGAGCTACTTGTAAGAGTGATGTCTCCACGGAGAGGCTGTCAGAATCGTGTCCTTAAAGAGCTAGTTCTCTTATTTGCTGCCTGGTATCTGTGACCATTATCACCTTTTTTCTTTTTTAATTTAATTTTTCTACGCTTTATTTTCAGCTAACAGATTGCACTTGTTTGGTCGTTCAGTGAGCAAATCTTATGAATGTGTTTAATATTACCATTGGTCCTGCCAAAGTATATTGTGTGTGGGTTCCACTTTTATTTGTTCTGTCTGTACTCTGCCTGAAATACTATATATTGGAAACTGTCAGCTAATGGAATGAAGGAAGGAAAGGCAAGGAAGAAGAGACAAGGAGAAAGGCCCCATTTGGTTATTTCTTTAAGAATTCTAGAGGACATTAGGACTTTTATGTTTCCCAGAAGTTCTTGATGGACACCAATAGCAATATGAGGGGAGTTACATTAGCAGAACACTCCAGGGAACATCCAGTAGTAATTAGTTCATACTTAAAACCAAATGTGCAGTAAGTATGTATGAATGCCTTCAGTCTGCACACATTGATCATGCACCAGCCATGTGCCAGGCATGATACCAGCTATGAGATGAGTAAGACACTCTCCTTGCCGCATAAGAGAAACAGACTAGCAGATGGATGGTTACAACACAGTGCGATAAATTAACATTAAAGTTATGAACAACTTTTTAATGAAGTACAGCGGCAGGAATTTGTAATGCTCCCTGAGGAGTAGAGGAAGTTTTCACAAAGAAGGGTGGCCTGTGACTAGGGCCCATAAGAGAAACATCCACTAAGCAGAAAAGAGGAAGGTAGGTCATTGCCTCTTCAGGGAGCATGAAAATATTTAGTGACTGGAGCTGAGTGTACCAAAGAATCACCCAGAGAAATTATTTTTTAAAATGATGATCCCCAGAGCTACCCCAGAGATTCTGATTCTGGAGGTTCATTTGTAAAAAGCACCTCAGGCAGTTCTGTGACGGCTAGTCTGAAGACTGCATTTTGAGAAATACCGACCAGACCCATACTAGCGTGTGGCTTTTCTGACTGTTAGCTCGGGGGCAGTTTGCCACACTGGAAAGAACCCTGATACTGCAATCAGACATACCTGGGTATGAATCCTGGCTGTGTTCCTGCACAGTGTACTGCATGCCAACCCATAGCTGTACACTTTGGCAAGTCAGTTAATTTACTAAGCCTCAGTTTTTATATCTGTAAAATAAGAGCAATGTAAGTAACTTTGCAAGATTTTTCTGAAGTATAGAGTATGCAAAGTATCTAGCTCAGTATCGGGCACATGTCGTACTAGCTGGCAATTAAGTGGTAACAATTGCCCTCTTTATATAGAGGCTGTGAATTAAACCTCTCTGTGCCCCATTTTTCTCATCTGTTAAGTGGGTATGATAAGAGCACCAATCTGTGTATTTATGAATTTGAAGTAAGACATCCATGAAAAGCACTTAAAATGATGCCTAGCACATGGAAAGTCTTCAATAAATGCACAATGATATTTTTGATATTGATGATGAAGATGTTGTTACTCCTATAACTAGCTGCCTAGTTCCTTATGAATATGTCCTAGAATCTCTTGAACTAGCAAGAATTGGATAGTGGGTTCATTCATATATGAACAAGAAACTTGAGAAATGATGGGTGTGGGGGATTAGAACATAAAGGAAAAAGTGGTAGGGGATTGGAATGACCATGTCTATTAGCAGCTGGGAGAAATGGTCACATGATCCACGGCCCTTGGGAAGAATTATTCTTGGTAAGAAAGGGGCTTTACAAATTAAAGAAATAAATAAAGGAAGGGAAATAAGACAATCCATCTTCTACCTCAGGGCAGGGTTTTATGTAGTTTTATGGAAAGTGGTCCCAGGAGAAGACAGCAAGTACATCGAGGAGCCTGGTAGGTGGGAGTGTGGAGGCAGTTACAAAGTTTTGGATCCCTGCTCAGCCAACTCCCTAAAATTCAGGACTGTGCCAACTCACCTGAGAGCATCTGACCCGCATCTTCCACGCCCCCGGCATAGCTCCTACTGGTGAACGGTGGACACCCACTTCCTCCATCTCCAGTGGAGCAAGCTGACCCCGACCCCGTTTGTTACTCTTAAAGGACTTGCATGAGATCGCCTGAAGGGCGATGGCTATGGCGGCTGCCAGAAACTCCAGGGACGGCACAGAGAGTATGAGGCTGTCCTGAGGGGTCCAAGAGATGTGGGTTGTGATCCCAGCCCTGCTCTGCTTAGCTCTGTAACCATAAGCAACCATTCCACCTCCACGAGACTTACTCATTGTTCCTGTGGTTATTCAAAAGACCTCTATGAAGTACCCTACTGAATGCCAAACCCTGGAGGGCCAGAGAGAGAGCAGGCAGGAAGCACCCACTTCAGTATGAAGTCATTCTGTTGAAGTCGAGACTGTGGGTGTACCGATTTTCCAGACCAGGTATTTACTATACATCTTGAACAGAGGACCTCCAGTCCCAAACAGACCTTTCAAACTGTTCATTCATATCAACAGACACCCTGATACATGGAATAAAATGTTAAACAGGTGAATCTGGGCAAAGGAAATTTGAGTGATCTTTATAGTCATCTTAATCTTTCAACTTTCCTGAAATTTGAAAGTATTTCCAAATAAAAAGATTTAAAACATTTAAAATGAAAGAATTTCTAGTGATCCACACCCATCTCTCAAAATGCGAATTACTGATAACGTATAATGTTGTGTAATTTGTCACTCCACAACCAAGACCCCCTACATCTGGAGCAAGGGGACCTGGATTCAGGTCTCAAGTCATTCCCCGACCTTGGACTTTGCCTCAGTGTCTTCACTAATCTGCATCTGCATTTTCTTCACCCGTAAAATAAATATAAGGTTTTCCTCAAAGGGCTTTGTGAGGATTCAGTGAGATTGTAATTATTTATGATCTATATAATTTCTATATTTTATCTGTATAACACACAGCATATAAAATCACTTTGTTCTTCATGAAGGGCCGTGCAGATGTTGCTACAGAGCACCTTATGCCGCAGCTGAGCCCACGCCAGTGTGTGTGTGATTCCTGGGGTCATTTCCATCAACTCACGAACTCCCTTCCATTTTCTTACAGCCTGAAAGAATTTCAGGGGAGCAGTATGGAATCCATTCTGATGTGTGGAGCTTAGGAATCTCTTTCATGGAGGTAGGTATTTTGTAAGTAGATGTCTCTCTGTATATCTGTAGCAATATGAGGGGGGACCCCAAAAATGTAATTACCTTCTGGAGAGTGGGCCCCTTCCAGGGCAGTGTACCAGCTGGTATTGTTGTGAGAGGCTGCTTTCAGCTTCAGTGAATTTTTTCCGAAGATTCTTTCAAGGCATTTGCCCATTTCCTGATGGGTAGTTTACAAGTGCACCTGCCCACACCATGCTGAGTGTTCAGCAGTTTAGACCAAAAACGGCATGATCCCCATGCCCCACCCTCCCTATTCACCCAATCTCAGCTCTAGCTACTTTTTTTTGTTTCCCCGGATTTAAAAACTAAAATCTCCAGTCATGTATATATGTGTGTCCACAGAATTTAAAGTCATAATTTTTATATACTTGCAAGGCTTGTGAACCGACTGTTCTAAAGTGCTGTTTCTCAAAGATCACCTATATAAAAGTTAACCTAGAGTGCTTCTTAAAAATACAGCTTCCCAGACTCCATCCAAAACCAATTAAGTTCATGTCTCTAAGAATCTGCATTATTAACATGCTACACAAATCTGGAAACCCTGTGTTCTTAAAGAGAGAGTTCAGAAAAATTCTGTCATGGTAGCCTGGCTCAAATGCATATATAACTTCCCAAGGTGATTACTTTAAAGAGCACAGCCATACTCATTTGGATGTATAAGTTCTATATGGTTGTTTAGAAAGAAAAAAGCCTCCTTGTTCCAACATAACCATATCATACATTGCGGATGGGGTGTGATCTGATCTGGGGGAGGATAATGGGTGTGTATTTAACACAATTTTATGTCTTTACTGTTTATAGCTATATTTAGAATGGGCTCTCTCTCACTGTGCTACCTATAGCCCCACGTATTCTCTGAAGGTTTCTAAACCATGGCCCTTGATCTCTAAGGAAATGCATATAGTTTAGATTGGAAGAACACCTGGACTGTTGTGGATTACAGTGTGGCAGAGTCTGCATACTCATAAATGCTTCAGGGCTTGTTTCTCACACACATCGACTCGGGTACAGGAAGACTTTAAAAAGTTGAAAGGACTGCTTAAATAAGATCATGAGTAGAGTTGTATTCACACTTCTATCACCTTTCTTCGGCCAAGTGCTTTTTCTGTGATTTTTATAATGCATGAATGCAGGTGAATTTGTAAGGAAATATCTTCAGATTCAATTCACTGGCACTATGGAAAGAAAGCAAAAATGAAGTAGTCAATGTTTATTAAACCATATTCTTCTACTTCTTCAGAAGAAGTCATCTAAGAGAAAATTTGATATGTGTGCGTCAGCGTATTGGTTAGCCATAATAGTAGACAGATTCTCAAAACTGAGTCTCCCAGCAGAATACTGAAGGGATTGTTCCGTTAGCCTGTTTTGGGGGAAACTAGTGCTTTTAATATGTGGGGCTCAGGCCTTGTTGTTAAATAGTTTCCCTTTGCATGTGCTAAGTCATTGTCCCTGAATGTATTTAATGAGTGACCAGGTAGAGTGCAGCACTGTTGTGACGTTGCATGGGTAGAGATACGAATCCTAGACTAGGGGTGGAAGACCTAGGTTGCAGTTCCAGCTCTACCACCGGTTTTCTAGGGGCCCTATGCGAGCCTCACTTTGGGCCTCAGTGTCTTCACCTGTAAAGTAATGATCTCTAAGCTCCTTTCCAGACTAACGTTCTTTGACTCTAAGCAGTCTGCTGTCGTCTCTCTTTAACCTGCTGCGGCAACTCTAAAGTTGCATCACTAGATGGTGTATACCCTAGTGTGGCATAGTCTGCAGAGGCATAGCAGTACTGTGAGAGAGCATAACTAAGGGATTTCAGATTCAGAGCACATGTAAATATTCACCATTCGCTCCTTCCATAGTTATCTCTTCTTTCGTGTATCGAGGTTCTGTTATGCCTGCTGATGGGCAATGCGATGTGGTACTAAACAGACATCCCAGACTTGACTCTCATGGAGCTGCACTTGGTGAGGGGTGGGGTGTGAGGAGGACAGAAATCATTTGCTGTTCTACCCATCCATGGATTCACTGGTTGATTCTTTTATGTGCCCCGACCAGGGATCAAACCCACAACCTTTGCCTATTGGGACAATGCCTTAACCAGCTGAGCTATCCATTCAGGGCCTGTTTATCCTCACTTTTAAAAACAAGATTCCCTTCCTGTGTTTGCACTCTGAAGAATATAAACATTCATTCATTCAATAATAATTATTTTGGCAATTATCGCGTGCTAGGCCTTGGAGAGTGGCACACCCAAAGCTGACAAAAACCTGCTCTGACAGAGAAGACAGACACCTAACACCCAGAACAGTGTGACGAGGCTTCAGGAGGATGCGTGTGGAAGGCTCTGAGTCGTAAACAGTGGGTGGGTGAAGCGGTTCTCAAAGGAGCTGACAGCTGAGTCGGGCTGGTCTAGAGGGGAGTTTGCCACTGGGAGAAGGAGGAAAAGATGGAGGAGCCCCTCCCCGTCCCCCAGCACTCTCATCTCTGTAAACTCTTTAGGGGAGATCACTTGTCAAAATATGCAAGGCCTCAGGTAGGCCATTTTACCACCTATTTGTGTGGATGCCTTCCTCCAAGTGTTTTAACTCAATCCGTTTATTCCTCAAAGGTGCTAGGGGTAAAGAAAAAATAGGATAAAACTACAGGAAACTGAGCAAAGGAGTTTTCCTGAAATTATACAAGAATCAAATAGGGGCAAAATGGGAACTAGAGTTTTCTACCTCCACCTAGCAACCCCCTACCCTCACCCCTGCAATTTCATAACCTCTTGACCCATCGCTGAGGTTTGGTGATGCAGAAATCAGAAGGTGGCCTTCACTGTTTTAAACTCCTAACACAACGAGGTTCACCCCCTGCTTGCCTGCCTCATACTGCCTCTTCCCTTGTTAATGTGCTGTCACTGTCCCCATGGGGAGTCATAACAAGGCCTCTCGCCACACTCTTTCATAAAAGATGATGCTACATGCCACTAAAATGTGCCATTTAAAAAGTCACACACAGGTACATTTGTGCCTTAAGCAAAGAACCTTTAATATCAGGCTATCTTTTATCTAGGGACAGAACTGCCCCATCTCCACAGTTTGGCATCCCTCTGTTCGTGAGATAAAGTGGGTCTCTTCCAGAACCTTGTCAGCTGTGTGTAATATTTGGAGTTGGCAGAAGTAATAGGAAAATGGAAATTACCCTTTAGAAGGGAAAAATGAGATTATCCAGCTTGACTAGAGCAGGGAAGAATTTGGCCCCTTTCTGTGTTTTTGGCTTATGGTTTTCAACTCAGATCTTTGAATGTGTTGTAGTTCTCCATGTGTGGATTAGTTATGGAATCCTATGTGCGGTTTAGCGGCGCACATTGTCATGGGGAAGAAAACCCGGCTGGACTTGAACCTTTTCCTTGAACCTTCATGATAGGAATTAGTATGGAAATGCGAAAGAAAAACGAAGTAAGACCCCCTAACAAGGGTACAAAGTTCCTGAAGTAGGACAAACTGGGAGGATTAATCCTGCCCCCAGAATTTTTGACTCTTCTAGAAAACTCCTAATGGTTCAGTTGACTCGGTCTATTCACCCCGCTGGTTGCTACTCAAGACTTCAGAGCTAAACTTTAAAATGAAAATGAGTTTGGTACATAGTAAGGGCTTTGTTTTACCAAGCTTGGTTATTTTATTTAATTCTTCAGGGAGGGCAATACCGAAAAGATTTTAAGGCACAATTTTTTTAATTCCATGGGCAGCTCAGTGTTTCCCACACTGTTATCCCACAGTGTCTTGAGGCGGGAGTCCCACTGCTGCGTTTCACTCATCAGTCACTCCGTGGATATTTTTGTGTCACTTGAGTCACAACAGATCTGTAGGTAGGAGGCAAACAGTCATAGTTGTAAAAGCTAGGTTTTCAATTGACCTTTCTTGGGTCAAAACATAAGTGAACAATACACCCTTCTCTAGCCTTGCATTTGCAGTACCCAGGACGATGCCTATACATTTAAAAAGGTACCAGGCCAGTCCTGTAATGTTCTTAGTATGCTCTATAAGTTTGTGTTCTGGTGTGTGGTTCTGTCTGGTGGGTCGTTATAAACCCTGTTAAGATTGGCGGTGGGTAACCTTCGGACAGGCCTTTCCGCAGGAGTCCCTCAGAAGTTCCCACCTTTAGCACGTGCATTTTACTCTTTTCACCTGGGTCCTTGCTCTTTCTTTCTGCCTTTGTTTGCCTTCTCTCTCTGTCAGTCTCTCGAGTCCCAGACGTAGAACAGTCGGCTCCATGTGTTTGGTTAATTGGAGTGTCACCTAGTCCTCTGAGACCGCTCTTTGGCATGATCGCTGCTTTATTCAAGTGGTTTGAATGATGTGTTAAACGATGAAAGCAAGGCCCATGGCTTAGACAAACATCTCTAGATAGGTGAAGAGCGTGCTCAGAGAGCCAGAAAAGGTCATTGTCATCAAAGTAACACCATCTTCTGAAGAGTTCTGTGGGTTCTATTATTTTGACAGAGTTTTTCTTCTGAATTTTAGAATTACCTTTACCAAATTAAAAGTAAATCCATGGAATAATTACTGTGCTGTTCACTGTACATGGAATATCATTTTTTTCTTCATCTCCTTAAGATTTAAACACCCATACTTCATGAGTCCAACCCTGATCTCTCCAGCTGAAAATAATATCTTCTCCTGACCTTCACCCACATCTTCACTGTGGCTTGTGGATTTTCCATTTTGTGTTGTAATTACGTCATAGTTCCTTATGATCAGGTTCACACGGATTCTCTCTACCTCTCCTGCACTCTCTAGTGCAGTTCCACTGCCCTAGTGGGTACTTATTCAGAAAAATCTTTTTGGCTTGATTTTTTCCCATACTTTTATAATGGTTTTAAAGCAGTTTCTGAGTAATAAGTAATAAAGATCAGAGTTTAATATTTGATTTGAGCCATTAACATAAGCGCTCATAAATGTTTGCTAAGTAGATCACAAATGGTTTGCATGTGAA